ATTTATTCCTTTGAAAAACTTAAAAAAAAAAAAAAACAGCTAAGTACAGGATACAGATGAATAAAAATAGTCACTAAAACTCATAGAGCTAACGCTTTATTAGACACTTAAAATGAGCCAGGTTCTAAATATTTTTAATGTATTTTTTTAATTTTCATAAAAAATATGAAGCAGTTCTCCCTATTTTATAGTTTAAGAGAAAAAAAACAGAAAAGCTATTCACTGTATGAGAAGTAATTTTTCACAGGTCAGGATGGACTGCTGCAGAGTCTACAGAATTGGCAGAACCATTCAATACTGAATGGTTTTAGATTGAAAAATGAAAGTAACTCACAATAACAAAGAGAATTTCTGATTATGGGAAACAACTGTGTGGTAAAGGGGATGACATCAAAATCATTTCCTATGTTATTTTATTCAGGGTTCGTTATTTGGTCCTGCTAAAGAGCACTTGAGAAAGAGGTATAACTTCCCTGTAATCTCAGGAAGCAGCAATGTGGTTTAGTGAATCAAATCTTCGCTGTGTTTGCTTTTAGACCTTAAACAAGATTATTTCCTTATCTAGAAAAACAAAAAATGTAAACTTGGGTCAGATGATCTCCAGAATTTCTTCCCAAGTACAACATAAGATCCAATGACTTTGTTAACTGAATCTGTGCCAATGACTTATTTGAAGGGTGAAACAACCACACAATCAGCATATTCCCCACATGGAGAACAGCCTTGATGAAGACAGTGGAAGTTAACACCTTGGGGCACATCTATCATCTCTGTAGGATTCTGTGGGAAGAGGAGAGTCATTTAGATTCTCAGTTGGGATTGAATTGGATTTTTCTGTATCTGTGCCTGAATCTCTGGTCCTGAAACTCCAGCCTGCTACAATCTACTCACACCTCAAGGTCAACAGTCTTGGCATTCTACCACTTACTCTCAAAGCACTTCACTTGAGCTAAAAGTAAGTTTTTGTCCTCTTCTTTCCACTTTTGTTGGATGAGATAAAGTTATTCTCTATCATGGATGTAAATAATACCAACCCAATTTCAACATCATTTTCTTAATCTAATCCATGGTATTTAAAATCCCTAATTCCTAAAGAACTAAGAAGTTACTACTAGGAGTGGTCAATGTTGTTACCCTGAGAATCCTAAAAGAACAGTTTTGAAAAAAGAGGATTTTTACCAGAGGCTATCTCCAGGACAGCAGCTACACCTATGAATTCCTAGTTTTAAATCACATCCAGTTATGCAGAAGGCAGATGTCATAAGCCATTTACCAACCCAAACACAGCAGTTTAGGTACCTGCTGCTTTTCTTTCTTCACAGTACCTCTTTTGCCTTCTTCCTATTCTCTTTTCTCTCTCCTTCCTGCTTCTCATTGCTCTTACAATTATTCTGTCAATTACAAGACTTCAAAGTCAATCACCTTTATATGAAACCAATGTAATTAACCAATTGCACCAAATTTTGTTTTGGGAGACAATGTCTTTCTTTTTGTTTTGCAGGGCTGGAGATTGAATCCAGTACCTTGTACATGCTAGCCAACCACTCTACCATTAAGCTGTATGCCCAGCTTAAGACAATGCCTTTTTTGACTTTTCTATGCAATTATCAAGTCATCTTATGTCCTTGAAAATTTAAAATTTCTCAAATAATTCCAATATGTGCCTCTGGTTCCCAACCACACTCTGCCAATTTTATTGCCTATCACTTACCTCCCTCCACACCAACCCTCTCTCAACCAAAACTAATCTGTTTCCAATAGCCTAAATATTTTTCTTTTGGTGTTCTTACTCCTTCAGAGGGCCCTCTGCACTTTCTCTACCTGTTAGCAAACTAAAAGATCTTTAAAAAACAGTTTGAGGGGCTGGGATTGTGACTCAGTGGTAGAGCGCTTGCCTAGCACATGTGAGGCACTGGGTTCGATCCTCAGTACCACATAAAAATAAAATAAAGGTATTGTGTTCACCTACAACTAAAAATATATTAAAATAAATAGATAAAACAAAATTTAAAAAAAACAGTTCGAACACCAACTCTTCTACAAAGTCTTACCTTACTCTCCAAATATATGAGTTAAAAAAAAAAAATAGTGGAAAAGAGAAGAAAATATGTGGATGGATTCAGGAAGCCTCAAGGGCTTAAAGTTGCAAGATCAGGTTCATCCCTGAGGAGCTAGGGATGTGGAAGAAAAAGATTAGAGTAACTTCCTTTACTTCAATTCTGTCTTTGATCAGATCAGCTGTTGAGCGCAAACTAAAACCACCATCTCTCTGGGCCTCAATTTTCCTCTCAAGTCCTCGCAGAGGAAAACCATGTACACCCTTTTGTCTCAGTCCTCTAGGGTTACATCAAGAAGAGTGACAGACTGCCACCTCTCCAAATCCTTCACAACCTGTAGAATGAGAAAGGCCAAATCCCGTGCATCAAGACTTGAGCATGGTCCCTAGAAACTCCAAGCTGGCAGGACGCCAGGACACCGCGCACACAACGCGCCGCTCTCGTGAGGCCGCCAGGGAACTGCTATCCTCCAGGTCACGACAAGAAATTTCGACTCCAGGCCTGTTTCGCCAAGCCTTTACGGCTTCCGGACCCTGGGTCCCTGGGTCACTTTGTGTTTTATTTCCCCGCGCCAGAAAAGTGGGGCCCTTGCGCTCCTCTGAGTTCTCTTGACGCCTCAGGCGCCCCCTCCTGCCCAGACTCACCGCTTGTTGAGGGGCCGGACCCTCAAGGCCACCTGCACATTCGCCATCCTTCGGTTACAACTCAATCCCCGGAGGTCAGTCCAGTCTAGGCATCCCTAGCCCAGCCTAGCCCAGCCTAGCCAGGGCCAAGCCCAGCCCCACCCCCAGCCGACCCCGCCCGCCCCACGCGCCTCTCGGGACACCCACGCCCAAATCCGCGCCACTGCCCGAGAGGCTGTGCCGCTGAGCCTTAGCCAATCCGGAGCCAGGTAGGCACGCTCGGCCCCGCCCCTCCTCGTCTACCCCCTCCCTCCTCCCCCGCGCCGCGGCAGCTGGCTGGAGGTGTCCGCAGAGTTCAGGCCTGACCCTGCGGCGCGGAGGCCTTTGTTCTCGGACTTGGAGATCGTGCTATACTCAAGTAAATCCATTAAATTTTTATTAATGTTCAAACGTTTATAATTTGCCAAGCATTTTTATTCGTTATGCTGGCCTGATATGTCAATGCTGCGGCAAAAAAGAAACGGCAGAAACTGCTTTCCAGCAAGGAGTATTCGGAGTATGAAGAGGAGTTTTAGTGCTGAGGAGCTCCATTTACCAGAACCTCAAGGCCACCTTGGCAGTGTTTGTAGCAGTAGAGGAAATGCCGTCTTATCAGAATTAGTTTACTAATTTATCCAAGAAATACTATTGCATAGCTACAAAGTGTCGAGCACTGACACAGTGACACAACAAAACAATGTACCTGCCTTCTTGGAAATTACAATCTGCAGGGAAGGAAAAGGGGACAAACACCTAATATATAACATATAAATATATAAATGGTTCTGATTAGTGCAGTGAAAAAAACAAAAAAAAGGCGGGCGGGGAGGGAAACCAGGCGCGATGACCCACGCCAGTAATCCCAGGCACTCTGAGGGATGACGCAAGAGGATCACAAGTTCCAGGCTAGCCTTGTTCATCAACTTAGGAAAAAAATTTTTTTTTTTTTAATTTTTAAAAAGGCGGGGTTGGGGGGACTGCGCACGTATCTCTGTGGTATAGCGCCCCCACCGGGTTCAATCTCCAGTATGCAAAAATAAACAAGAAAAAGAAAACAGTAAATAGCCTTCGTGTATATGAAGGGTGAAAAATGCTGTTTTGCACAGCATCTTCCAGTAAGCCTTCACTGATAAGAGGACATTTGAATAAATCTGAAGAAACCGAGAAAGGAAGTCATGCAGATACTCAATTGTTTAACAAATATGTCCTAAGTAAGCTCCTATCAGAGTAGGCTTGGGACAAAGAAGTGAAGAAAATAGGCAAAACTTCTAGGCTCATTGGAGCTGGGATAGAGAGACTGATGATAAGCAATTTAACTAAAATGTATATCAGATTAGCTAATAAAAAAAAAAAATCAGGACAGGGAGTAGAAAAGGGCCATGAAACTTCAGATAATATGACCAGGGAAGACTTCAGTGACACCTAAGAAAAATATGAAGTATATAAAAGAAGAGTTGGGCTATTGTCTGGAAGAAGGGCAGACACAAGGACAGGCCTGAGCTTAGAGACAGACTAAAACGTTAAAACCAATAGGAAGAAAGCCAGGGCAGGTAGAATAGAGTGAGAGGTGGAAAATCATGGAAGTATCATGAAGGCATGGAAGTCTGGATTTTTTTTCTTAATGAGCTGGGAAACCATAAGAAAGTTTTGAGGAAAAGAGCAAAATGATTTGGTTTATATATTTAAAGAATTACTCTGACTGCTGGTTTTGAGACTAGCCTGAGAAGTAAGGGTAGAAGCCCAGAGAGACCAGTTAGGTGGCTATTTTAGTACTCTAGCAGGAGAACATGAGTCATGTTAGTCCCCTTTTTCTCATCTATCTAGAATAAGGTACTGGGATAACTGGTTTATAATTCAAGCTCACTTGGAACCCTGGTATCCTAGATGGCTTTTCTACTCACTGTGCTTTGCAGTAAAAAGAATTGACACATTAATATTTCTATTTTCAGCCTGGAGAACTTGATTTCAACAGTAGTCTGTATTTTAAAACATTATTTTACTCATAAATACGTACCTTCAATATAACCACAATACCATTATCACACCCAAGTACATCAGTTCCTTAATGCCATCAAATATTCCATTTAGGTTTATCTTGTAAATCTCTCTTTTTTAATAATATTTATTTTTTAGTAGTTGGACACAATACCTTTATTTTATTTATTTTTATGTGGTGCTGAGGATCGAACACAGGCTCAGCGGTAGAGCTGAGCCACAACCCCAGCCCCTAAATCTGTCTTTTTAAAACAGTCTCTTGTTTGAATAAGTTTCCAAATAAAACTTGGTTTTTGAGTCTTTTAATCAGAAAGAATCAGGTCCTAATGAACTTGAAATTTTGGTACTCCAATATACTGCGGGCAGTTTCAGTAGTGCTAGCAGCAAAACCTTAAAATACTCAAGTCACAATCAACTAGAAATGGACTGTATATAACTATACATAATTAGGGAAAATAAAATTGATGATCACTTGATATTAGTTGTTTGGGCATGACCTTTAGAAGTAAAAGGTAAAGGAGAAATTATAATATCATATTTTTGAAGGTAACTTTCTTCAGCTAATATTTTGGGGATACAAGAAGAAATCTCCTTTTGTTGTTCTCGCCACTTAAGAATATTCTCTGCCAGTTCTTCTGTCTCAGTCACCAAAACATCCATCTTGGTTAAAGCCTTGCTCTGTAATATTTAAACGAAAGGGAAAATAGAAATTATGTCTGTCATTATTTCATTATCATTAGATCACAAACAGTTACACCAAAAGTTAACATCTGACCTTTTTCTAGCCCCTTACTGCAAAAGCTCCTTAAAACTATGCTCTCCCCATCTTACAATACCCACCTTCTCTTTGGGAGTTCACCTCTTCTTTGTCCTCAATAATCAACTCAACAACAATGATCCTCAATCTCTAAATAGTTAAAATCTAACCTCCTTACTAAAATGCAGACCCATGTTTAAGGCCATTGGCAATCTTCATCTGGATTTACAATTTCTCAAACTCAATTTAACTGCAGTTCAACAATGACTGAACATTTACTACATGTGCCAAAAAAAAGCCACCCTCATTAACTTCTTTAATCCATACTTGACCCTACTCAAATCAGATAGGTTAACAACTTCATTACCTTGGATGTGTCCCTTTCCAAATGTAGCAAAGATCTAGAAATGTGACCACAAAAAAACCTAAAAACAAAACAAAAACTCTATACAATCCTTTGTATTCCTGTGCTTTAAATCCTTTATAAAAATACTATATTTAGTCTCCAAGTTTCTCTTGACTTTTCCTCTAATTCAGAGCAGATCAGATCTTAATATACACAGGAATCCCCTGAGGAACTTATTAAAATGCAGATTCTGATTCTGAAAGTATAGGGTGAATGACTACCTCCACTTCCCCTTCTCTTTCTTTCTTTCATGCTAGAGATAGAACCTAGGCTTCATACATGCTAGGCAAACACTCTACCACTGATCTAACCTCCAAACCTGTAATTCTGGAAAAAAAAAAAAAAAAAAAAAAAGCTTTTAGGTGATGCTGTCCATAATGTGAGTAGCAAGGCTGTCTACCCTATTCAATATTTTCTATGTGAATGTGATTAAGGTAACGTTCTCTAACCAAGTCACTCTTCTGTATCCTTCACTAAAAAAACAAAACAATTCATTCAATGGTTCCCAGCCCTGATACCTTTAGGCATCAGTCAAAGTAAAGTGTCATTTTCTCCCCCAACTACTTGTGCTCTCTTTCATGTGAGACATTGTTGCTTTGGTCAAACTGTTCTTCCTGAGGAGTGTCTAAATTTCATAGATTCTTTAAGATTCAGCTCTCTACTAATTCCTATATAAAACTTTTTAAAGTCTTCCTATATCCTATTCTGCTCTCAATTCCCCTATACTGGAAGTAATCCCTTCCTTTTCTGTGTACAATAGACAGTATCTCTTTATAATGTTATGCTGAACTTATGCAAATATACTCCTATAAAACAGTAAGTGTGAATCTTATAGCTGTCTCACCAAACTGAGAATTTGAGAACAGAGATCAGTCTTATCTATTTTTCTTGATACATGCATGTAGCATAGCCCTTGCACGATGAAGATAATATATACTCAATTAAATGTTGGAATAGCTTCTAAAGAAAAATGATGCCAAGCTTTTTTACTTTAAAAATAATTAGTTTAGGGCAGTGTAAGCCATTGTGGGTGGTGAGGTGGCCACCATGGTGGAGAAGCTGGTTTCCAGGGTGCAGCAGGTAGCCAACTTCACCAAGTTCTGCTCCTGCTCAGAGAACAAGAAGAAATGGAAGGCCCACATGGAATTCATCCTGCACTACCAGCCGAATTACCATGACCCACCTAACACTGGTGGCTGCCTAGGCTAGCTGTTGTCCCTCTCCATGGTCTGGGTCAACCATCTTTTCCTGAGTTGCAGTTAATAAATAATAAAGACCTTCTAGCCAAGGTTATGGAAATGGCTGGTAGCACTGATGTGGAAGACCTGCCACCATTCACTCCTGGAAGTGAATCAATGAAAAAGCAAGGCTAAAGCAGAAGATGTATCACATTTACGTCATGGGTCACAGGCTTAGTAAGGAGGCTGTAATGAATGTGACAGTGCACAGCAGCTCTTAAGACTCCTGGGAGAAGCAGCTGGAATAAAAAGGTATCTGTCTAGATTGGTTTTTAGAAGTCATCATTCCTTCTAGTAGCTACCACTGTAAAAATATGCATGGAAATTTATGTATTTATAATACATGCACTCTAAGATGATTTCATGAACATACAAGCCTTTGTTTAAAATGTCCATATTTAAAGGTGGTGATGTAATAGTGGCAGGTCATGAGTTTTATAGTTTGGATTTATTTATATTTTTGGTACCAGGGATTGAACCCAGGGGCAATCAACCAGCAAAAGCAAGGTGCTAAGTAATTCAGTGAGATACTATCTCTAAATAAAATACAAAATGGGCTGGGAATGTAGCTCAGTGGTCGAGTGCTACTGATTTTAATCCCTGACACCCCCAAAAATAAAGAAAGATAGAAAGGAAGGGAGGGAGGATAGGTTGGGGATGTAGTTCAGTGGTAGAGTACTTACCTAGCATGCACAAGTCCAGGTTCAATCCACAGTACCATGGGGTCGGGGGGCCGGGGGAGTTAAACAAGGAGATCACACATTTGATATTCAAGTATAAAAGAACTAAAGAAAGCTATATTAATACTCACCATTTTCTTTAGATTTGCATCTAAATGAGGGATATTTCTAATTGTTTCAAGATGGGTTTCCAGTCTCTCAATGAAAGACACAGCCAACTCCAGCAAATGTACCATATATCTGAAAGAGTGAGAAAAAAATCCAACTATTTTTAAAATTTAATTATTTTGTGTCTCCCTTCTTTTCCTTTAATTAGAACTTTAGTTTAAAATAAAGAATTACAATCAACTTAATGTGTCAATAACAAACTTTCTGAATTCCTAGAAGTATCAGTGATAAAGAAAGGTCCTTCTCTTTCACTTGAAGAAACATATAACTTGTTATCCAAATAGAAAAACAGAAAAACATGACATTAATCATCATATCTGGAACCCAACCTAATGGTAGATAATGATAGTAATGTTCACACAGAAGGAATTTCCCTAGATAAAATCTCATTCCATTTCAATCTACTCATTTTCAGTGAAGAGACGACAATAAGGAAAACTATAGTACATTGAAGCAGTCTTCACATTAAGGTAATAAATGCTTAAAATCATTAAATGCCTAAAATCATTAGCTCTTCTTTAATGTAGTATAACATACACATTAATGGCTAGATACTGAATACAAGAATGGGGTTTTGTATGTCTGTTATTTTACTAAAAATTAAAAAATTCTGCCACTTAAGAGAAGATAATCTTCAAGGTGCAGTGGCGCATGCCTATAATCCCAGCAGCTCAGAAGGCTGAGGCAGGAGGATCTTGAGTTCAAAGCCAGCCTCAGCAACTTAGCAAGGCACTTATCAACTCAGTGAGACCCTGTATCTAAATAAAAGATAAAAAAAGGCTGGGGATGTGGCTCAGTGGCTGAGCACCCCTGGGTTCAATCCTAAGTACAAAAAAAAAAAAAAAAAAAAAAAGATAATCCTAGCTACTTAGGAAGTTGAGGCAAGAGGATAGCAAGTTGAAGGCCAGCATGGGCAACATGACAAGATCCCATCTTAAAGAGAGAGGTAGAGGGGTAGAGAGGGGATACTGATTTGTTCAGGGTCAGCTAGTGAGGCAATGATAGGGAAAGAAATCAGATTCCCAGATGCTTGCTTTACTATTGTATTATTATTTTAATCATAACCTAGATCTTCAAGTTTATACTTATAATATTTCTATGAGAAAGATAGCAACAGAAATAATCCCTGTTCTGCAGACTGGGAAACTGAAGCAAAAACTGTTATCATTTTGCTCAGTTGAGATGAGACCAGAATCTGGTTTTTCCTTTTTTTAAAATATTTCTAGTTGTAGATGGATAACTTTATTTTTTTATGTGGTGTTGGGGATCGAACACAGTGTCTCACATGTGCTAGGCAAGTGCTCTACCCCTGAGCCATAACCTAAGACCCAGTTTTCCCTTTCCTTTCTTTTTTAAGATACCAGGGATTGAACTTAGGGTCACTCAAGCACTGAGTCACATCCGCAGCCCAATTTTGTATTTTATTTAGAGACAGGGTCTCACTGAGTTGCTTAGCCCCTCGCCTTTGCTGAGGCTGGCTTTGAACTCATGATCCTCATGCCTTGAGCTGCTAGGATGACAGGCGTGCTCCATGGCACCCAACTTGTTTTTCCTTTCTTTCTTTTCTTTTTTTGTAGTTGTAGATGGACAGCATGCCTTTATTTTATTTGTTTATTTTTATGTGGTGCTGAGGATCAAATCCAGTGCCTCGCACGAGCAAGGCAAGTGCTCTGCCACTGAGCTACGGCCCCAGCCCCGTTTTTCCTTTATTAATTGACATTTTTTTCTTCTGTCCATGTTATGTACAGAATTTTTATGTATAGGTAACATTAATTCAACAATACATTTATTTCACAGAAAATAGTCTATATGTAATAAAACCAATTTTTACCCACCTTGCCAAGTGTTAAGGACCTACTTTTTCACTAAAATCATAATTTATAATTCCCAAAACACAACGGGCAAATGGAAGTTCTTTCTTTTCACCATAGTGATACTTCTTTTAAAGCAAAGAATTTTCTTTCTGGTTTAATGTATCAACATTAATAATGTTAACCAACACATCAATAACACACTGTTTAGTGAATTATGCTTCAAGGTTCACCCTCAGAAAACATGTACAAGTATTCATTTCTTCTTCTCAGTCTAACCTGTGATAAAAAGCCTCCAAAGGTAAGTTTTCCTGGCACATGGGTTTCAACAGTCTTTGCCTGAGGGACCTCTTTTCTTTCAGCACAGCTTCCAGGTGATTATTCATACTTTGTAGATCATGACACTTTTGAGCTACAAAAATCAGAAAATTATTTACAGTTAGCAATAGGACAAGTAAGAAATTTTGAAATCACAACGACTTCTACTTTTGCTAATACCAAAAATTAATCTGAGGCTAGGTGCAGTGTTGCACACCTATAATCTCAGAACTCAGAAAGCTGGGGCAGGAGGCTCACTTGAGATCAAGAGTTGAAGACAAGTCTGGGCAACATAGAGAGACCCATTCTCTAATAAAGAAAAAAGGGGGGCTGGGGATGTGGCTCAAGTGGTAGCATGCTCGCCTGGCATGCATGCGGCCCGGGTTCGATCCTCAGCACCACATACAAACAAAGATGTTGTGTCCGCCGAAAAACTAAAAAATAAATATTAAAATTCTCTCTCTCTCTTAAAAAAAAAAAAAAAAAAAGACGTAAACTGGGTGTGGTAGTACTTGTCTCTAATTCCAGTGACTCTTGGGAGGAAGATCACAAGTTCAAGGCCAGCCTTCGCAACTTAGTGAGATCCTGTCTCAAATTTTAAAAAATAAATTAAAAGGACTGGGGAGTATCTCAGTAGCAAAGTGCCCCTGGGTTCAATGTTAGTTCAGAGGGGTAAGGGGGTGTCACCTTGCAAACTACTACTGATTAGCTCAGAATTTTTTCCCCTCAGAATTCAGTTAATGGCTGCCAACTGTCCCTTTTATAAAGTTTTAATTTGAAAAAATTCAGACTTACAGAAAACTTTTTTAAAAGTTCAGTAAACTCCTATATACATATCACCTAGACACTATATTTAGTTATATTTTCTTTTTTATCCTTTTTCTATCTCCACACACTCACCTCTATCTTTTGTTCTCAAAAGGCCTCAATTGAGAATAAATTGCAGACAGCATGATCTTTTACCCTTAAAAAGATGTGTTTCCCATGCACAACAACATACACCTAACTTAGAGTACATTAATAAATTCAGAGATTTTTTTGGAGAAGTTAACATTGATACAATGTTACCAATATTTAATACAGTCCATATTTAAACTTTACCAAGTGTTCTGATAATGTCCTTTATATATAAAAAAATTTTTCTGATCAAATATTCAATCCATTCATTCAGTGTTTCAGTTATCATGTCACTTTAAGTAATTACTGGTGGTTCCCTTGGAAGTATTAGAGCAAGACTGACCTCTGAATCACTCTCTGGCTTCCTATCTCACCATGTGATCTCTCCCTCTTGCCAAGTGCTCTGCCATTGTGATGCTATTCACCATGAGGTCCTAACCAGAATCAAGCCAATGCCACCCTTGAGCCTCTGCACTATGAACTAAATAAACCTCTTTTCTTTATACATTACTATCAGCCTCATTAACAAAATATACTAACAAAAAAACGAATAAAGGAGCCAACCTAGTTCCTTCCAATGCTATTTGCACTAGTCAAGTCTACAGGACTTGTAATTAAGCACAAAAATAGAAGACTTTGTTAGCAGTGGGGCTGGAAAAACTGGCACATCACAATTTTGCTGCCTGGTGTTTATATTTACTATAATCCAAGAAAAAGTTGAAATTCCAATGATTATCCACTTAAACAAACCACTTACACAAATAGAAAGGATGAACAACATCTGCTGCATCTTTTTCTAGTTTCAGAAGTTCAATTTCCAGGCTTTTCTACATTAGGAATAAAAGTAACATTAGCTTACTCAGAAAGTATCCTGAAGTTAAAGAATCAAAAATAGCTAAGAATGGACAATCTTTAGCTCAGAAACATGCTACAAGATGTATATTCCTTAAATGAGATTGGAGGATGATGTATGTATATAAAAGTGCAGGTAATTTACTAAAGCTTTTCATTTTGGTGTTCTTGCCCTCCTGCTGTTACATTTACTTTAACTGTTACTACTACTACTTCTTTTACTATTGCTATTAATTACTACAATAAACCTTTACCCAACTATATGCTAGATACTTGTTCTAAGTGCAAGAGAATTGCTATTTGAATCAATTAAGGTTGTAAGGTTGTGTGTTTTTTTTGGGGGGGTTGAGGGGTGTGTGCTAGGGATTGAACCTAGGAACTCACACATGCTAAGCACTTGCATTATCACTGAACTACAACCCTATCTGGGATTTTTCTTTTTTCTGTATAAATAGAAAAGTAATAATTAAAAAAAGAAAAATAATAATTTACCTGATAGATTTCAGCTTGAATATTTGTGATCTGTTGTAGTCTGGAGAATTTCTCAAAGCAAGGAGCTGTTTTCTTAGATATATTTAACATCTCCTATTGGTAAATGAACAGGAAAACAGTAGTATGTCACAAAAAGTTTCTGTATACATGGAAGAGCATGCCCATGGGACTGAAAATTCATATTATGTCCAACACAGTCCCTAAACAAAAAGTAGAGAAAAAAGAGTAGTAATGTATATTTCCTGTTTTTAGAAACTTCATTGTTATAAATCTCTTGCACAAATATTTAAAAAATGAAATAGTACAATCACTTTGTATTGTACTATTTCCTAAGGTACCATATACAATAGATTTACATTACTAATAACTTATTAGAAGATAAGCTGAGGTTTTTGGAAACTCACCTCTGCCCACCCAAATGAACCAAGCCTAGTCTCTCTGACCTTCTGGATTGAAAATCAAAAACCCTGCCACATGGAATAATTTATCAACTGCATACCCGTCATTCATGTTGTCTCTGTTCACATGTATTCTCTTACATAAAGGAATATTTATAATGATTTTTCTATAAGGACTACTCCTTTTTTATCTTTTCATTCTGTAATTCCATTACACTGTCCTCTTAAGTGCAGGTTATCTCAGAGTATAGATGTTATTTTTTTTCACCCCCCCAACTTCCTCCATAATTTTCTATATTTTCTTCTTTTGTAGACTGTTAGCACAGAGGCCAGGCACAATGGTACATGCCTATAATTCCAGCTACTAAGGAGACTTAAGCAGGAGGATCACAAGTTTGAGCAACATGGGCAACATGATAAGACTACATATCCAAAAAGGAAAAAAAGAAAAAAAAAAATGGTGGGGAAGAAGAAACAGAGGAAAAAATTTTAGAAGTTATAAATGGCCAGGGACTAGGAAACTAAATGCAATACCATTGCCTATTTTTTTACAGCTCTTGAACTAAGAATGTTTTATATTTTCAAATTGCAGAGAAAAAAATGATATTCTATAACACAAGAAAATTATATGACATGTAAATTTAAGGGTTCAGAAATAAAATTTTATTGGAACACAAATTCTCTCATTCACATATATATTACCTCTGGCTATTTTTACACTAAAACTGCCTAGTGAATAGCTGTAACCATATGGCCTATAAAGCCTCAAATACTTATTCTTTGGCCCTTTATAGGAAAAATTGGATAATCAATTTAAGAAACACTTATTAAGGTAGACAATGGATGATACAAAGATGAATCAAACAAGCTGTTTGCCTTCAAGAGGGTCATAATGCCAGGCTCAATGGCATATCTCTTTAATCCCAGTGACTCAGAAAGCTGAAGCAGGAGGATCCCAAGTTTGAGGACAGCTCAGCAATATAATACAACTTAGCAAGACCCTGTCTCACAATAAAAAGATAAAATAAAAAATAAAAATGACTGGGGATATAGCTCAGTGATGAAGCATCCCTGGGTTCAATCCCAGTACCACCCTCCCCCTAAAAAAGGCTCATGATGGAGGTGAAAAAAAGGTATTTTAGATAGAAAGAATGAAACATAAATGCTCAACAACTGTCATTTGGTATTAATATACATGTAAGGCAAAAATGAAGCTAGAAACATAGTTTCCTATATGATCATAGAAAACATTGAGGGTTATGCCAAATGATCATAATGCAGATAACGGGAACAACTGAACATTTTCTGGTGAAGCAGTAACATGGTCTTATATAAAATATATATTTTAGAAATTTAACAGTGGGTACTATGAAAAAGAAAACTGAAAGCCAAAGGTCAGAGGAAGGAAAGAATGGAAAGTAACTGTTCAATGAATATAGTTTCCCATAGAGAGTAATAAATGTTTTGAAAATAATTGCACAACATTGTGAAAGTACTTAATGCCACTGGATTATACATTTTAAGATGGTTAAAATAGTCAGGCATGGTGTCACCTACCTATAATCCCAGCTACTCAAGAGACCAAGGCAGGAGGATCAAAAATTCAAGGCCAGTCTGGGCAGTTTTTAAAAATAAAAAAGGGCTTCAGATGTATGCCCCTGGGCTCAATCCCCAGACTACACATACATACACACACACACATACACACACACAAAGGTTCAAAGGGCTGGGGGCGTAGCTCAGTGGTAGAATGCTTGGCTTGTTTAGCATGTGCGAGGATCTGGGTTCAATCCCCAGTAATACCCATATGTAGAAGAATGAAACTAGATCCTGCATAAGAGTCAAATGAAAGTGGATCAGACTTAGGAATCAGATCAGAAATTTTGCAACTCCTAGAAGAAAATAAAAGGTCAAAAATCCAACATAGTGGCATAGTGGTTCCTTAACAAGAACCCTAAAGCTCAAAAAATATAACCAAGAATCAATAAGTGGGATGGCACAAATTAAAAAGCCTCTGCACAGCAAAGGAAACCATGAAAAGCATCAGATCTCATGAAAATAAAAGGAAGATCGGTGGAATAGAGGAAGGAGATTGAGGAGAGAGAGGAGGGATGGTAAAAGGGAGGAAATAAAGAATGAATTTGACTTTTGTACACATACAAATATATCACAGTGAATTCTACCTTTATGTATACGTACAAAGCATCAATTAAAAAAATAAATAGAAGGAAGACCAGTCAAGTAGAGGAAGGAAAATAAGGGGAGGAAGACAGGAGGGAAAGAAGAAGGACTGGAGACTGAAACAGAGCAAATTAAATTCCATTCATGTAAAATTATGTCAAAAGTTATATGTACACTATTATGCATAACTATAAGGAACTAATAAAAATATTTAAGAAAAAAGTTAAATTAATAAAAGTTATGTATATTTTACACAGAAAGAGAGGGAAAAAGGAAATCCCTACAGTTGGCCATCAATATAAAACAAAAATACAGGTAGAGAGATGGGCATAAGGTTGAATATTTAAACAGGTAACTGCTATAGTATTCCAGGTAAGATCATGAGAATGTGAGCTAGGTCTGTAGCTGTTTAAAAGGAAAGGGAAGACAGAGATAAGAGTACCTGTCAAAATGAAACTGACAAGTCCTAGTTGATATGGTGAATGAGAATTAAAGTCAGTGATTAAAGAGTTAATCATTGTTTGACTCCAGTGATTCTGTTTCAGGTGGCTGTAAAGATAGTTATGCCATTAACTGAGGCAGATAACACAGGGTATTCTATTGGTGGCAAAATTGAGGACCAGGGAGATTAAGTATTAGTCCAACTTCACATTGACAATGTGTGTCAGAACAGAAATGAGAACACATCTAATTCACTATCTCTTACTTTTTCTTTACACTCTCTCTTAGGTAGATGAAAGTAAAACATGCTATATCATGTAACCTACTAACTCTCTGGCATATCTCCAACATTCCATGTGTATACACTAAGCTTAGTTGCACATTTGGCAAACTAGTAAACTCTTTGATTCAACAATAGGGTAATGATGCTTAGCTAATAAGATGCAAGAGAAACCAGAGTGAAAATAAGAATGTTTAAGTGGGTAACAGGGCTGGGGATGTGGCTCAAGCGGTAGTGCGCTCGCCTGGCATGCGTGGGGCACTGGGTTCAATGCTCAGCACCACATACAAATAAAATAAAGACGTTGTGTCCACCAAAAACTAGAAAATAAATATTAAAAAATTATCTCTCTCTTTAAAAAAAAAAAAAAAAAGAAGTGGGTAAAAAAAGAAAGAAAGAGCAGTCAAATTCAAATTCAAAACATTCCAAGAAAATAAAAATCACAACTGCACAGAAGTCTGTGCCTTTAGTTATTGCTATATTACATACTTTACACGTCACTGGGGCAAAAGGACCCTGAAAATGAAATGATCCTAAGAAAAAGGAGTATATTTACATTGTTATTGTTTACTTTGTTACTAGGCACAGGAAGCTGAAATATGGGAACTTTATGCTTAATTTAGGATCTTTGGGGCTGAGGGTGTAGCTCAGTGGTAGAGTGCATGCTTAGCATGTGTGAATCCCTGGGTTCAAACATTGTGTACATTTGTATGTATAAACTTGTAACCTAGGGGTTACCTTTCTTTTTTTTCCCCCCCCCTTTTTTTTTCTTTCTTTTTTTTTTTTTTTCCTCTTCATGCTGTATTTCAGTTGAGGAGCATTAAAAGGGAGCCAGTGTAGTAAAAAGTTAAGAGCAGAGGCTATCAAATAGGGGTTGGGAAACAGAGAAAGGCAGGACACAGATTGAGAAAAGAGATTAGTGGTACATTATAAAGAGTTCTTAGGACCAGATCCTCCTATACTGCCAACAGAAGAAGCCTTGATCAAGACTCTTACTAACTAAAGATTGCTGGAAAAATATCTAGAATGTAAAGCAGCCCTAGGGGCATAAAGTAAAGGAAATACCTCAGTATGCTACAAAAGTTGACCATACCTTTCTTTCATCAAATCATTCTTCTTGGATAGATCAAAACAGAACAAAGTTCAAACATGTTTTCTACAAGAAATTTTAGGAACCACTCTTAATCTGTGTGTGCGAATTTGTGTGTGATGCTAGGGACTGAATCAAGGGGCTCAGGAATACTAGGCAAGCTCTCTACCACAGGGCTACATATACCACAGCCCATCACTCTTAATTTTTAATGAACATGAATGATGCATGAGTGGACTATTTTGTTTCTAACCATTTATTTATTTATTTATTTTTATGTGGTGCTGAGGATCACACATGCTAAGCAAGTACTCTATCACTGAGCCATAACCCCAAGCCCCAGGATGGACTGTTTAAAGAGATCATATGACAAATCAGTTTAAATCGTTCTAATGAAAAAAAACTTTTCAGGGCTGGAGTTGTGGCTCAGTAGTAGAGTTCGATCCTCAGCACCACATAAAAATAAATGAATAAAATAAAGGTATTGTGTCCTTATCCAACTAAAAAAAATATTTTAAAAAATTCTCTCAATAGCAACTTACTCTCTCGGTATAGACAGTCATATCTCCTATCCCACATTTTCTAGAAGGATATTAAGTTTCAAATGTCTTATGAGTTTACCAAAGTATTTTGTGACAGAAGAACTGGACAACTCAAGTGAGAGTAGTAGGCAAACTGGTAGGAAGAAAAGATGGAGAGAAGCAAGAAAGGGTTAAACTGTGGAGTACTGTGTTGGTCCCTGCAACAGCTGGTGTACTCACACTACCTAAAACCCTCAAACACAACACTGGGTCTTAACATAAGTTTTAAAATCTTTCAAGAAGCTGGGTGCAGTGGCATACATCTATAATCCCTGACATTCAGGAGGATGAGAGAAAAATATTGTAAATTGGAGGCGAGCATAGACAACTTAGCGTGATTGTGTCTCAAAAGAAAAAATTAAAAAGGCTGAGGATAAAACACAGTGGTACAGCACCCCTGGGTTCAATCCCTGTACAGAAGGGGAAAAAAAAATTTATTCAAGAAGTATCACAATATTTTATCACAGTTTATCTTAAGAACTGATATAATGTGTCAGAAAAGGGAGAGCTCTGGGATCTAATTCTGCCTTCTTGGTTGAATGACCTCAGACAAATTTCTTGGTCTTTTAGAATTTAGTTTCTTAATTTAAAAGAATTAGATCCTGGGGATGTAGTTCAGTGATAGAATGCTTGCTAGCAACAAAAAGGCCCTGGGTTTGATTCCCAGCACTTCAAAAACAACCAACCAAACAAATCACCTTAAGGTATCAGAAATCTCTAACAAATCTTTTAAATACAAAAAGTTGTATATTTTAACTGGGCATAGTGTCACAGACCTGCAATCTCAGCTTCTCAGAAGGCTAAGGCAGGAGAGTAGCAAATTTGAGGCCAGTCAGGGAAACTTGATCCTGACTCAAAATAAAATTTTGAAAAAGGACTGGTGATGTAGCTGAAAGGTAGACTGCTCCTGGGTTCAAGACCCAGTATGGAATTTAAAAAGAGAAAGAGAGAGATTTTCCATATATCTTCCATCATGTTTGTATTTATTGCTATTTTTCCGCAGATGTATTTATCTTTTTAGCTTTTCTCTCCCCCCACCTCTTTTGTATCAGGGATTGAATTCAGGGGCACTCGACCACTGAGCCACATCCCCAGCCCTAGTTTGTATTTTATTTAGAGACAGAGTCTCATTGAGTTGCTTAACACTTCATTTTTGCTGAGGTTCAAAGCTTCAGCCTTCCAAACCAAAAGGATTACAGAAGTGCCCCACCACTCCTGGCTCAAAGCTCTTTTTAGTGAAATTCCTTTTTATATCAAAGTTTCCTTCCCTCAATTTCAATTCACTTGTTCCCACTTGTCTCATTCTCCTCTGTCACCTGTATTCTATTATTCCCTCACATGTTCAATTTCTTCCTCTCCTGGCTCCTTCTCCCGGGGCTGTGAACATGCTCTTCTTGCCCAACCTAAAATCATCATTCCTTGGACTAATCTCCCTTCTTTCCTCAAAATTAATCCCTTCCTCCACTCATGTTCCAAAATCCTTTATGTCTTTTCCACCAAATGCTGTTGTTTTTTTTTTCCTTAAAAGATACCCCAAATGAACTTCCCTTGGGGCTCCTCTGTACTCAACCTCTCCTGCCCCAAATTTGCTTCAATACTTCCTGTAAATATACATATTGGGAATGTTTACTTTTAACTATCTACCATTATTTCTCAACCCCACCGCATACTACACTCTAGAGGCGGTATCACTGGATGAAAATAAACAGGACAACACTGTTCTATCCGCCGTAATCTGGCTTGACATAATTTGCCGGCACCTACTCAGATCCCTGTTTACGAAGAATCCACAGCACTAAAGCCACGGCTGCAAACTAGAAGAGGCTCTATCAATCAGCCTTTATCCTGGTATACACCCCAATTAGCACCCTCAACACTCCCGCAATAAGTACCATCAACCACCTCACAGCCAAATTCTGTCGCCACCATGGCCACCCCCGCTTTGATGACGCCATTGTTGCCCCACTCACCTGAGTGACCAACCCTGAAGCCACGAAGTGGCCCAACAGTGGCCCTGCGGAGTTCGGCGCGGAAGCCGGGTCCCAAGCGTTGGCAGCAGCCATGATTCTAACACACCTCCCCGCTTGGCGCCAGGAGTGAGCCGAAAGCGCGACGAACGCTCGGCGCGGGTCGATGACATCACAGGGCGTTCCCGCCCGGGCGGAAGCCCTGGGAGCGCATCCCAGGCTAGCGTGGGTCTCTGGTCTCCACCAGCCGGGACTTCTTCCTACTGAGCTGTAGGAAGCGAGTCCCGGGGTCCCTAGTTCTCCAGAGGCTCTCAGGAGCGCCTGGCCTTAGCACAGTTGCAAAAGCAGCAGAACTTGGTGGTCTGTTTTTCTTTCTTCCTTGCCACTCGGGCTGGCTCCCAGAATCCTGGGATCGGCTGGAGGTGACAGCTGGGGCCGGAGACCCAAAAGGAGGTTGACGGGGTGACTGTGTGCCTAGGTTGATCACTGATCGCTGCGCTTCCTTCCCGCAGGTACCAGAGTCTTGGTGATAGGATGGGAAATAGTGCCCTCCGCGCTCACGTAGAAACGGCGCAGAAAACTGGTGTCTTTCAGCTTAAGGACCGTGGGCTGACCGAGGTGAGAATGGGAGAGATAAAACCAGGGAATTTACAGGGAGAGGGACGGCGGGGGCGGAGAAGCTAATCCGTGAGGGCTTCTTAACGCTATGAACCCTTTCTTCAGTTCCCCGCAGATTTGCAGAAACTGACAAGCAACCTTAGGACCATAGACTTGTCCAACAACAAGATAGAGAGCCTACCGCCTCTGCTGATAGGGAAGTTCACTTTGCTGAAGAGCCTCTCCCTGAACAACAACAAACTGAGTATGGCTTTTGCTCCTGGGAAGTTTTTATTAGTGATCAGAAGTTAAAAAGGGTGGATTTCTCTTACAAGATGATTTTTTTGTCGTCATTATGAAACTGTTCAGAGGGTTCACGATGCAGAATGACAAGAGTCCTTGAAACTTTCTACCTCCACTGCAAGGTTTCTTGGGTTATATGATGATTGATCTTTGGGATGTGATGTAAGCAAAATAGCTCATTTAAAAGGGAAAATGGAATGGGAAAGGGAGGCTGTTCCAAAAACTCACAAAATTGTTGTCGAATTGTGCCTCATCCCCTTTCTAAAAGGAGCCCATTGTATTCAGGAATGCTCCTGCATATTGATGGCACACTCATCTTCTGAAGACCATGTTGGTAAAATTTAATACCTAAAAGTGGTGCATGTGGGAATTCTGTGTTTTAACAAGAAGTGAAGCAGACTGATATAGTCTTTGTAATCTTTATCAAACGTGTTTTTTCAGCTCTATCAGATTCAGGTTTTTAATTTTTTTCTTTGCTAGATATTCTACCTGATGAATTATGCAATCTGAAAAAACTAGACACTCTAAGCCTAAACAACAATCACCTGAGAGAGCTGCCATCTACCTTTGGGCAGCTTTCTGCCCTCAAGACCTTGAGCCTTTCTGGGAACCAGCTGGGAGCACTACCACCCCAACTTTGTAGCCTACGGCACCTAGATGTGGTAGATCTCTCTAAGAACCAGATTCGGAGTATACCTGACATCGTGGGGGAGCTGCAGGTCATCGAACTCAATCTCAACCAGAACCAGGTCTAGAACTTTAGGGTTTTTTTTCTAGCATATGTTTGGGTTTATGGTCTCCTAATAAACTGTTATTCACAAAACTGTGATCATGGAGTTGACTATCAAAGGCTAGATGAGAGCTATATACTATAAACCGAACCAGTTTCAAAGCCCAAAGTGCCATGGAGTTAGTGGGGACTAACACTGGGTGTGTTTGCTGTCTAGGCTTTTTGGGGAGTGCGTAGCAGGTAACAGGGTAAGGGTAATTTCAAAAGTCAAACTACTAGCCAGATGTGTTGGCATATGCCTGTAATCCCAGCAACTCAGGAGCCTGAGGCAGGAGGATCACAAGTTTGTGACCATTTTGGCAACTTAGCAAGACCTTATCTCAAAAAAAAAAAAAAAAATTTTTTTTTTTAAAGAGGGATGGTGCCAGGCGGGTGGCACACACCTGTAATCCCAGAGGCTCTGAAGGGTGAGGCACGAGGATCTTGAGTTCAAAGCCAGCCTCAGCAAAAGTGAGGGGCTAAGCAACTCATGAATTTCGTTCTTTGAGATTATCTCACCTTTTCCTTGAGATTATGGGGAAAATATCAGTTAAACTATAGGTATTAGTTGAGGACTTGCTACACATTGACCTCTGCTGATGCCTTAGATAATGCCTTAGACCCACTGACTTTAGTATATATAGAGTAACCTGGGGAGCTTGTTTAACGATATCACTGGGCCTTTATCCTTAGTGTTTCTGATTTATGAAGGATGGGATGAGATCTAAGGAGGTTGTTTCGCTCAATGATCCAGGTGATGGCCTGAAATACCAAGTAGTCAATAGAATTTGGTGACTTGGGCTAGATATAGCTCAGTGGTAGAGCACTTGCCTAGCATGTGCCAGCCCTATGAAATTTGATTAATTTGAGTATTTGATGAGCTAAACAGTGAATGAGTCAAAGACAATTGTTTGGTATTGAGTTTGAGGGCCTAAAGGAATAGTGGTATAATTGAGTGGACATGCTGGGTTGATTATGGTGAATCATTTAACAAGAAATGCTTTCCTGAAAGTGGGAAACAAAAGTAGAATAGAGATGAGTAAATATGTATGTAGAAAAAAACATTTAGATATTAAGTGAGGACTTCAAAAATGAACTTCCTGGGCTGGCGATATAGCTCAGTAGGTAGAGTGCCTGCCTCACATGCACAGGTTCCTGGGTTTAATCCCCAGCAACACACACACACACACACACACACACACACACATGCACGCACACACACAATGAACTTCCTAGGAAAAAGTTGAAAGAGAATATGAAATATAAAGTATTAGGGACTGCTGCTTGAAAATGTCCATAAGGAAAAAGGGAAACCAATAATCAGGAATAATTCAAAAGATAGGAAGAAAAACCAAGTACTTATGTACAAGAAGTGGAAAAGTCAAATGCAATAGAAAATGATGGATTCTTGGCTTTGGCAATAAAGTAGTTGGTATATTTTTACACATAAAAGGTTGGCAGATTACAGGTAACTTTTTTGTTTAAATTTGTGTTAATTCTCAAAAAGCCACTGGTAACTTCAAAAAAGCATTTTATTTTTAAACTGGAGGACTAGTAACAGAAGGTCTGTAACTGAGGCTTCTGTAGTGAGTAGGTAGTGAGAAAATGGAGGTGGTAAAAGAACTGGGACAAATAACAAGGTTTTTGTTTTTGTAATGTAAAAAGTAACCATTAGAGGGCTTGTGCTTTTTCCTATTATTGTTTTGTTATTCAATAGATATCTCAGATCTCAGTAAAGATATCTTGCTGTCCTCGCCTTAAAGTTCTTCGCCTGGAAGAGAACTGTCTTGAGCTCAGCATGCTTCCACAGAGCATCCTCAGTGACTCACAGATCTGTCTGCTTGCTGTGGAAGGCAATCTTTTTGAAATAAAGAAACTTCGAGAACTAGAAGGCTATGATAAGGTATTTATTTGTGTGGTAGCATACTTCTGCATTTCTAGTTACTAACCCAGAGAATGCTGAGGTAACCCACATGAATATTTTGTTCTTCCCAATTTTGAGGGTGGTTCTAAGAATTGGCAAAATGATATTGTGCCAAAATGGCTTTCTTTATAGACAGCTTATTGCAAATCATCTTCTGATATGTTTCATATTAAAATACAAAAAAAAAATTAGAACTTAAACCATGTGCTTTAAATTATTAGGTAGGTTTAATAGGAAATGGACCAAATCCAATAAAAGACAAAATTGCAGGGTGGGGGGAGCATGTAGAAACCTAAGTAACAGATAAACTTATATTTACTTATGCCAAAATACCATATATATATATTTATATTTATATATATATATTATTCTTTCATGATTTTTAGTACATGGAGAGGTTCACAGCCACCAAGAAGAAGTTTGCATGATGTTCTCCAGGACCATGGGAACCTTACAGGACAATGATATGGAAACTCTGTTGGAATCTGGCTGAAGCTAAGACTCTTGTTGTCAAGGATATCTGCAGTAAGGAGATGACACTCCAGGAGATTGTTTCGCTCAATGATCTCTTTTCCTTTTCAGGGCTATCTCAAACAAGCTAAAAGACTCATGGATAGGGCAATGGACAATGCTTATCTTCAAAACCATCATTAGTTTGGCTTTAAGAAACCAGTAGCTAGTTGCTATTTATATGGTGAGGAGGTGCTGCCTGGTAACAGAATAGCTCCACACCACAGCTTGAGATTATGTTTAGTTTCAAAGTGTGAACTTCCATAAAAGTCAGTTGTCATTCCACCTAGGTGTTAACACTTTATATTTTTATCAAATTCATATTTGTGAGTTGCTATGGTTACTCTAAGGATTTATTGTTTTATTCTAGTCCATCAGTTTAGTTGTCTATACTTAGAATTTAGGATGCACATAAATATGACTGTTTGTCTTGGTTCAAGTGTGCTTTGTCAGAGAAGCACCAACACAACACTAAGAGAGGTTCCCCAAGGCTGCAGTAGCAAATCCTTTACTATTGCATGTGCCTTATTGGTCGAGGGCTCTGAAGAGCTAAAAATGTATATGCAACACTTATATGATTTAAAAATGATTTCAATAATCAAGATTTTCCTGAAGCTTTGTTAAAAATTATGTCTTATTTCTGTAATCTTTCCCCTTTTTGTATTTATAACTCTACTAATCAAATTACCTTTAAGAAACCATTGCTACAATATTTTAAAACAAGTTATGTTTATCAAGTTTATTCTCTGAATGAGAGAATATACTAAATAAAGAATTTTTAATGATCTTTGACTGGAAGCAAGTTTAATTCTTTAAAGGAAGAAGACAACTTTAAAATGTAAAGGGTCATTTGTTCTCTGAAAGTAAATTAGGGAGAAATGTTTCATGTTCTTGTTCAGGTTTCTTAAGTAATGAAATGCCTTTATGTGACTGATAATTAACATTTTGGGGTACTAGAACCATGCTTATTAACAGAACCTGAAAGTATAAAAGTAGCAGATTTCAGATTGTCAATGACATGAACATTTGAACAACTACTATTTTGGTCATTTTCCCCTCCATGGATATATTGGCAGTTCTCAGTAATGGTTAAACCTTGCTTAAAGGCAAGAAATCATAAGAGCTTACTATTTATGGGGCAATGTCTCTGACTTTAAATTTGGTCTGGGTATTCTCTATTTCCCATGTTATTTTCTCCTTCTCAGATAGGGGTTGCCAATTTATCAGTATCAATTGAGGAGCTGTTCCCCACTGACAAACCCCTAAACCTTAATGTTTATTATTCTTACTGATCCATTGAATGATTAACTTTTCTCTAAATACTTTAAATTTTTAACAAGTTAAATGTATCCATTTAATGATTAGCATTCTCCACCCCTGTAAGAATCAGTGACTACCACCCTTCACAATTTGGATACTTTATTTTCAGATACCCTCTCTTTACTCTCATTTGCCTATCTGATCATATCAGATCATTCTGCTCCTTAAACCCATGCTGCATTCTCTCCTTTGCCTTTATGTTGTTTGCTGTCAGGAATGCCCCTATTGTGCTCCTTCTTCCCTATGTCTAAGCCTCTTCTCTAAATCTAATTAACTGTTCCTTCCATCTGCTACTATAGCACTTCTCACATTCTATATTTATCTTTCTTGCTAGACTAAACCACTTGAGGTCAGAGAATTTATAAAGTAATATACCCAGAGTTAATAGTGAGCAAGACTTAGACTAAAATATGAACTAAGAGTAGTCTGATTTATAGTCAGAGATCCTGATTCTATCTTGGCTACCAGCCCTAAGTCACTTACATTTTTTAGAGCTTGGCTTGGAAGTCAGTAGTATATTGAATAAGATCATGGGCCTTGGAGTCAGAACGATTCAGGTTTGAATCCATAAAAGGCTGCCATTTATTAGCTTTTTGAGCAATTTACTCTCCTGTAAATATGGGTAATACCTTCTAATTCTCAAGTATGTTATAAGATACATAAAAGCACTTGGTATAGTGCCTATGACAAAGTAAGTAATCAATAAATCATACTATTTATCTCATCTATAAGGCATAAAACTAAAATTTAAGTTGTTTTAGGAATGGACTTAAAGCTGCCATTAAAAAGATAAAAAATAACTCTCTTACTAAAATTCTAGATTATCCCAGTTCATATCAGATACACACACACATATATATATATATGAGATGCATACATATCATACATATCTTGAGATATATGCATATATATTATATATATCTGATAATCTCTAATGCCTTATCCCCTAGTTATTTTTTATCAGATAATCTCTAATGCCTTATCCCCTAGTTATTTTTTATCAGATATATATAATATATATATATATATATGCATATATCTCAAGATATGTATGATATGTATGCATCTCATATATATATATGTGTGTGTGTGTGTGTGTGTATCTGATATGAACTGGGATAATCTAGAATTTTAGTAAGAGAGTAACCTAAAGCAAACAGCTTTTTTAAAAATTTTTGTTTGTTTTTTAAAGCACTGAGGATTGAACCCAGAGATACTCTACCACTGAGTTATATCAACAGTCCTATTTTTTTTTTTTTTTTGAGATGGAATCTTCCTAAGTTGCTGAGGGTCTCACTAAATTGCTGAAGAAGGCCCTGAATTTACAACCTTCCTGTAAATCTTCCAAGTAGCTGGATTACAGGCATGTGCCACTGAACCCTATGGGAAAACAGCAGTTTAAAAAGTTAAGTCTAAGTACACATGAGTATAACATGTTTGAGATACAGAGTTTAACAGGAGACTCATAATCCATATGTGACATAGAAAGAAAGATATAGAGTTGAAGTATGGAAACAAAGGATAAATTAAAACTAAATAAAGAAAAAAAAATAGGCCGAGTGGTAAAGGATAAAAATCTCTGTCATTACAAGACTGGAAACTTGAAGGAGATTACTGTTAAAAAAAAATTAAGGGGCTGGGGATGTGGCTCAAGTGGTAGCGCGCTCGCGGGTTCGATGCTTGCGGCCCGGGTTCGATCCTCAGCACCACATACAAACAAAGATGTTGTGTCCGCCGAAAACTAAACAATAAATATTAAAATTTTTAAAAAAATTAAATTCAGTAGAAGATACTGTTTTTTTCTTTTTCCTATGTAGTTATAAATTAATATCATGTTTAGGGTTACATAACTAGTAAATGATTTAATCAAAATTTGGACCCAGGTGATCACACTCTAGAGCTTGTGTTAACCTTTCAAAAGTAATGGAAAAGGGCTGGGGTTCTGGCTCAGTCAGAGCACTTGCCTAGCATGTGTTAGGCACTGGGTTCAAATCTCAGCACTACATATAAATAAATATATAAAATAAAGAATCTCAGCACTGCATATAAATATATAAAATAAAGATCCATCAACAACAAATAAAAATATTTTAAAAAGTAATGGATGGGGCTGCGATTGTGGCTCAGCGGTAGAGTGCCTGCCTAGCTCGGGTGGGACCCGGGTTCGATCCTCAGCACCACATAAAAATAAAGGCATTGTGTTGTGTCCATCTACACCTAAAAAATAAATATTTTTTTTTAAAAAGTAATGGAAAAAATGTTCACAGATGGTGTTATTGGAGAAAACCAAAAAGGCCTTTAAGTTAATAGCTTCCATTTCTAGTTCATTATGGGCCAAATTTCTAGGACTCTTACTTCTCACCTTTCTCAGTAGCAGAAGCTGTAGAAAAGTTTGTAACCTGGGATCTATGAGTAGGTTTTCAAGATCTGCATGAATCACATTCATGTGTTTAGTTCTCTGGGGAAAGGGGCTGTGTTGTCTGTCATCAAATTCACAAATGGATCCTTGACCAAAAAAGAGCTCCATTCTAGAGAAAATAGCAGCTATCATTCATTAAATTCCTACATTTACTAAGCACTATTATAAGGGCTTTAAAGGCATTAAACTCTATGCTTTGCAATTTTATGAGGTAGGAATCATTAATCCTCATATTCAGAAAAGGAAACTAAGGCACAGGAACAGGCTAGAGTCACCACAGCCAGCAAGAGCTAAAGTATAAATCCAGACAATTGGTGCCTTAACATGCACTTCAAACCAATTATACTGTGGGAGCAGTACAGTGGTATCCTCCAAATTATTTCCTTTAGCCAAAACAGTGTTTAAAAAAAAATTTTAGTGCTTTTAAGAAGGGCCCTTAGTATAGTACAATCTCCACTGTTTTACACCTTACTTTACACATTCACTTTCACCTGGCAAACTACTCTTTCTGACATGGAGCACTTTTATGAGGGAGGACCTAGTTGAGTCTTGCTTTATTTAAATATCTCCCTCTTCACCCTTTGAAAATTCCTGTTAGTTGTATCTTTTCCAGTATTGGGTTGTTCTTTCCCAGAAACATCTGTTTAGTCACTGATAAAAGTGAGTGCAAATGAATGAGACTAATAATGATTACATTAAATGCACCATAGAAAGGAAAGTTCTGTTAATATTTCTAATAGAAATTGGAAAAGAGGAGCTGGGGTTATAGTACAGCAGTAGATCTAGCGCTCGCCTTGTATGTGTGGGGCCCTGGGTTCGATCCTCAGCACCACATAAAAATATAAATAAATAAATAAAGGCATTGTGTCCAACTACAACTAAAAAATAAAAAATAAAAGAAATTGGAAAAGAGCTAACAGCAGCTTTCCATTGGTGTGCTTCTTGACTTATGGACCTTTGCTTTATTCAATTTGTTAAACAGCAGCTGATGAAATTACTGTCCACAAAATAACAGTCACAGAAACATGTTACCTATCTTAAAGAACAATACCATTAATTAGTTACAAAGTTTAATTATGAGAATCAAGCAGTGGCTATTGGTCAAACCAATCCATATCCCTAGGTTCAAAGTGTGCAGAGGCTAGTTTTTAAATAAAGGTGACAAATCCAATTAGATTCTCACAACACTGTTCAGGATTTACATCAACTTGATTCTGAACATAGTTCAATACACAAAGCTAAAAGAATGACAGTGCAATCATCAATAATTAAACCAAATTAATTTTCCAAACCACTTTTAGTAGGGCAGAATAAATTCTAACTTTTAATAACTGTATAAAGCTACATAACTATTTTTCTACGTGAGATCAAAATAAAATTCCTTTTTCCAATCTAAACATAATTCTTAACATTGAGGTAAATCTGAATTCACATGACATATTTTATCAAACTTCCACAAAAATTTTAAGCCCTGCTTTTGAGAGAAATTCTCATATTACACATATGTATTTACATATACTTTTCTTCAAAGACTAATGACAAATTTATGAGATTAATAGGCCTGTAATGGGACCATGATATTATTAATAATATGAAAATAAAAAGCCACTCATTTATACAAAGTTTTCCTGAATGTGCAATATGAAATGAGATAACAAAATCTATGTATATAAATGAATCACTAAGAGTTCAGAAATTGAGCTCACTTTAACGAAAACTAATTATACTCTTTGGAGCAGAGGTTGCAAAAATAGTGATGTATAACAAAAATATTGTATATAAAAGCTCCAAAATTAAGCATTAGCCTTAATTGGCAAAAATTGCAATTTAAAAACTAAATCCAACTAGATCTTTACTGCGGCTATCCAACTTGTTTGTGGCTTTTACTGAAATGATGACCTCTCATCTCTCATTCTTCACCCACCACAAAACCAAAACCAAACCAAAAAAACACCTCTATAGCTCCCTTCTTCGTGGCTGTCTTTGGCAATGCTTCAGAATTTTGAAAAAAAAAAAAAAAAATTGCTCAAGTAAATGAAAAGGAAGAAAATATGTGTGATGTGTGAAAACCAATCTAAGAATATGAACTGAGAAAGAAAATACTAGAAGGAAGGATGAGCAACAGTCTACCCTCAAACAGGAATTAAAAAAAAAAAAATCAAAAAATCAGGCAAGCTGTCTCTGGCCCTTTTTCCACATTATCTCCAGATTAGAAGAGTATGGAACCAAAATATCAAACTCTGAAAAGGTAATGATTTAGGAGGAGGAACTGAAGTAAATAAATGATAGAGAAGTACAGCAGTAGCTTTAGCTGTCAATGAGTTTCTTTGCTCTGACATTGGCATTGTCAATACGATCTTTGTTGGTGTCAGCCTGAAAAAAAGAAAAAGATATGAGCATTACTTCACAAGGTAAGACATTCTAATAAAAGTGAAATTTAGGCTGGGTATGTTGCTTAGGAGTAGAGCCCATGCTTTGTAAGTACAAGCCCCAAGGTTCAATCCTCTGGACCCAAAGAAAAGTTTAATCAACATACTGATGAAACTCAAGAAACACTTTAAGTCACATTACAAAACTCATTTAAAGTAAGAAGTGACAGAATATAAAATTGATTTGGAAAAATCCTAATGCACAGAACTTGCCAGTATTTCATCAATTCTATTACATATTTTTTTCATAGTTCAACCCATCTGAAACTAGGATGCATCTTACAATCAATGGCAGTTTCTTCTTTTTTTAAGACAGGGTCTCACTATGTTACCCAGGTTGGCCTTGAACTCCCAGGCTCAAGTGATCCTCCTGCCTCAGTCTCCAGAGTAGCTGGGACTACAGGCAAACACCATTATGCCCAGATCTTCAATAGCATTTTTTCCCCCAATGAGATGTAAATAAATTTTAGTAAATCATGTAGCTAGAAAGTGGAGACAGTAGATTTGAACCCAAGCATATAAATTCAATAGAAAGCATCACCAACAGGGCTGAGGATGTGGCTCAAGTGGTAGCGCGCTTGCGTAGCGTGTGTGAGGCACTGGGTTCAATTCTCAGCACCATATACAAATAAAAATAAAGATATTGTGTCCATCTAAAACTGAAAAATATTTAAAAAAAAAAGAATGCATCACCAACAGACTAGGCCACTTGGAAGTCAGAACCTTAGACAATGAAGATAAAATATGTAATCTTTTTTTTTTTTTAAAGAGAGAGTGTGTGTGAGAGAGAGAGAGAGAAATTTTTAATATTTATTTTTTGTTTTCGGCAGACACAACAGCTTTGTTTGTATGTGGTGCTGAGGATCGAACCCGGGCCGCACGCATGCCAGGTGAGTGCACTACCGCTTGAGCCACATCACCAGCCCCTAAAATATGTAATCTTGAAAGTAGAGTTGACCATGCAGAGAAGATGATAAGAAACCATGAATAGAACATCCAAGAATTATGGGATAACATGAAAAGACCAAATTTAAGAGTTATCGGAATAGATGAAGGAGCAGAGATACAAATAAAAGAAAGCACAATCTTTTCAATGATATAATAGCAGAAAATTTCCCCAACCTAAAGAATGGAATGGAAAATCAGATACAAGAGGCTTACAGGACCAAAATGTACAAAATTACAGCAGACTCACGCCAAGACACATTATAATGAGAATGACTAACACAGAGAATAAAGATAAAATCTTAAAGGCTGTGAGAGAAAAAAAAATCAAATTACATACAGGGGGAAACCAATTTGGATTTCAACTGATTTCTCATCCCAGACCCTCAAAGCTAGGAGGTCCTGGAATAATTTTATTTCAAGCTCTAAAAGAAAATGGATGCCAATCAAGAATTTTATATCCAGCAAAATTAAGGTTTCAGAATTGAAAATGAAATTAAAACATTCCATGATAAACAAAAATTAAAAGAATTCACAACTAGAAAGCCTACACTACAGAGCATTCTCAAGAAAATATTCCATGAGGATGAAATGGAAAAAAAAGTAAAAACCAGCAAAGGGAGGGTCTACACTAAACGGACATTCAACCAAATGAAAACCTAAGAGAAATCAAAAACCAGAAATAAATCAAAATGACAGGGAATACAAATCATATCTCAATATTAACCTTGAATGTTAATGTCCTAAACTCATCCATCAAAAGACATAGACTGGCAGATTGGATTAAAAAGCAAGACCCAACACTATGCTGTCTTCAAATGACTCACCTCATAGCAAAGACATCCACAGGCTGAAGGTAAAAGGATGGGAAAAAACCTTATCACTCATATGGACTGCATAAACCAGCAGGGTTTTCCATTCTCATTTCAGATAAATTAGACTTCAAACCAACGTTAATCAGAAGAGAGAAAGAAGGATATTTCATACTTCTTAAGGGAAGTTTATATAAGCAGGACATAACAATTATAAATATTTATGCCCCAAACAATGGAGCATCTATGTACATCAAACAAATCCTCCTCAATTTCAAGAGTCAAATAGACCACAATACAATAATACTGGGTGACTTTAACATACCTCAGTCACTACTGGACAGATCTTGTCAAACAAAAACTAAAGAAGGAAACTATAGAACTAAATAATACAATCAATAATTTGGACTTAACAGACATATATAGAATATTTCATCCATCAATGAGCAAATATATTTTCTTCTCAGAGCACATGGCTCCTTCTAAACAGACCATAAGCAACTCTTAGTAAATACAAAAAAACAGAGATAATAAATACCCTGCATTCTATCAGACCGTAATGGAATGAAATTAGAAATCAATGATAAAATAAAAAGTAGAAGTTACTGTAACAAATGGAGACTAAATAATACACAATTGAATGATGAATGAATAGTAGAAGAAATTAAGGATGAAATAAAAAAATTCTTAGAGGTAAATGAGAACACTGATGTAACATATCAAAATCTTTGAGACACTATGAAGTCAGTACCAAGTGGAAAGTTTATTGCATTGAGTACATTCCTTAAAAGAAGAAAATGTCAATAAATAAATGACCTAATGCTAAATCTCAAAGCCCTAGGAAAAGAAGAACAAATCAACATCAAAAGCAGTAGAAGACAGGAAATAATTAAAATCAGAGCTGAAATTAATGAAACTGAAACAAAAGAAACAATTGAAAAAATTGACAAAACAAAAAGTTGGTTCTTTGAAAAAAATAAATAAAATAGATAGATAAACCCCTGGCCATACAAATGAAAAGAAAAAGAGAGAAAACTCAAAATTACTAAAATACAAGATGAAGAAGGAAATATCACAACAGACACATCTGAAATACAAAAGGTAATTAGAAACTATTTTGAAAATTTACACTCTTAATAAAATAGAAAATATGGAAGACATCGACAAATTTCTAAAGACATATGACCTACCCAAACTGAATGAGGAGGTCATACATGATTTAAACAGATCAATTTCAAGTAATGAAATAGAAAATGCCATCAAAAGCTTACAACCAAGAAAAGCCCAGGACCAGATGGATTCTCAGCCAGGTTCTACAAGACTTTCAAAGAAGAATTGATACCAACACTCCTCAAAGTATTCCATGAAATAGAAAAGGAGGGAACTCTTCCAAACTCATTCTATGAGTCTAATATCACCCTGATACCAAAACCAGACAAAGACATATCAAGGAAAGAAAACTTCAGACCAATATTCCTGATGAACATAGATGCAAAAATTCTCAACAAAATTCTGGCAAATTGGGGGCTGGGGTTGTGGCTCAGCGGTAGAGCGCTCGCCTAGCATGTGCAAGGCGCTGGGTTCGATCCTCAGCGCCACATAAAAATAAATAAATAAAATAAAAGTATTTAAAAAAAGGTAGTATCTTAAAAAAAAAATCTGGCAATGGCATACAAAAACATAGTGTGCCACAATCAAGTGGGATTAATCCCAGGGATGCAGGGTTGGTTCAACATATGAAATCAATAAACATAATTCATCATATTAATAGACTTAAAAACAAGAATCATACATCTCAATAGATGCAGGAAAAGCATTTGACAAAATACAGCACACCTTCATGTTCAAAACACTAGAAAAACTAGGGATAGTAGGAACATACCTAAACATTGTAAAAGCTATATATGCTAAACCCAAGGCCAGCATTATTCTAAGTGGTAAAAAAATTGATAGCATTTCTGATGAAATGAAATATGATAACAATGCTCTCTGAACCACAGAATTCCAACGGAGTTACTCTAGGTCTAACCCACAGAGAGTGAAAAAGATCTTTGGAACAGATGTATTACCACCTACACTGATATCTAAATTAAAATCATGGGTAATACATAGCCTAAAACCAAACAATAGCCTTAAAGGCATCTTATGAACCATTATTTGCTTCAAAACAAATCCACTGGGCCGGGGATGTGGCTCAGTGTTACAGCAGTTGCCTACTATGGTGCAAGGCCCTACCTAGGTTTGATCCTCAGCATCAAAAAAGAAAAAGAAATCCAGTATAAGTGATTCAACAGAGAGCCAAGCTTTAAAAGTGACCATCTTCTAAAGTACACTGGGGTTTTAATCAACTGTGGCTTTTAAATTTGACTTCCAAATTCTGAAAAACATTTTCCTTTCAGTATCTTTTATATAGCATGTAATGCAAAAAAAAAAAGAATCATAATTTTCGTTTGCTCACATGACTATATGCTACTAGTTAATAAAATAAAAGCAATATTTATGGGGGAAGGGAAGCATACTCAAAGGTTAGAATAGATTCTAAGCTTTATGTGTGAAGGTTTAAGTAAAACAACTTTATCCCAAGGCTGTGGTTACAAAATAAACCAAATGCTATGAGCAAGATAGGAGGATTCTACCTTTGTTTTTAATGTGTTAGAACTGCCACCTCATCAAAACTGTAAAATCCTATAAGGACAGGATCTTATTTTATTGTTTCCCCCCAAAGTGTCTAACATAGATGTTCATTACTAAACAATTACCAGATTGGATGTTTCATTTTATTATGGCCATAAAAGGCTTTTACCTTTTCTGTGATTCGGTCTATTTGTCGATTCTGAGCTTCAATTTCATTGCCCATGTCCAGGGCCATGTTCTTTAGATTTCCTAGGATACTGCCCACTTGAGTCAGGTTCTCTTCCATCTCATCCTCTCTGGCATCATTAGTTATACTGTCACAAAAGGAGAGTTAATTTTAGTTTTTTTTTTTTTTGTTGAGTTACAATAAACTAAATCTGGATTTAATTTTCATAAAAATGAGTCATTAAAAAACAATAAAAAATGATGAGTAATCAATATTATGCTCAGCAAGTATTAGAACCAAAGTGTGATTCCCAGTATCACCTGGATTCCTGTTAAACACAAGAATATATTAAGTCTCACACCCTTGCAGAAGTACTGAATAAGAAACTATATTTGGATCCCAGCAATCTGTACTTTCGTTTTGTTTTGTTTTTCTCCCATAGACAGGATTTTGCTATGTTCCCCAAGCTTGGCCTTGAGCTGCTAGGCTCAAGTGATCCTCTTGCCTTAGCCTCCTGAGTAGTTGGGTCTACAGACATGCATTTACCATATCTGCATCAATCTATGTTTTAACAAACTCTCAGGGGATTCTAATGTACACCTATTAAGAACCATTGTTCTGAAACTGGTTGGAAATTGTAGATGAAGAGCCAAACATGTCCTGGTACCTTACTTTTGTAAGTAAAGTTTTATTTAAACATAGCTATGCTCATTTATTGACAACTTTTCTCTGGCTACTTTCTCTAACACAGCTGAGTAATTGTAACAGAGACTATATAGACTGAAGTCTGAAATATTTACTATCCAGCCCTTTACAGATATCTTTATAGGAATTAAGCCAACCCCTGCTTTAGATGTTACATTTTGTGACATATATATCCTATTTGTAGAAGTAAATATGCCTACTTCAGTAATTTGGAAAGTCTTAAAAAATATAGAGAAATCAATCTCATTATCCATGAACAACAACCATGGTCAACATTTGTTAGAAGACAGATATATTTTTTCTTTCTTTTTATTTGCTCTAATTAGTTATATACGACAGTAGAATGCATTTTGACATATTATACACAAACAGAGCACAATTTCTCATTCCTCTGGCGGCTGTACCTAGTGCAGAGTCACACCAATAGTGTATGTATGTACATAAGGTAATAATGTCTGTTTTGTTCTACTGTCCTTCCCATCCCCAGAGCGCCACCCCTCCCCCTCATTCCCCTCTAAACAATCCAAAGTTCCTTCATCCTTCCCTATTCCCCCAGAAGACAGATTTTTTAATGCATTTTTTTTCTTCTGGGTATTAGGGATTGAACTCAGGAGCACTTGACCAATAAGCCACATCCCCAGCCCTATTTTGTATTTTATTTAGAGACAGGGTCTCACTGAGTTGCTTAGCACCTCGCTTTTGCTGAAGCTGGCTTTGAACTTGTGATTTTCCTGCCTCAGCCTCCCCAGCCACTGGGATTACAGGTGTGCGCCACCATGCCCAGCTTAAATGCATTTTTAAAGCAGAATAAATTTTATTTCTGTTTGGAGCATTAGGCTTCATGTACAACTACACCCAACCTCTTAAGTGAGCCATTCATTAGGAAAGATGAAGAAATATTGGGAGAAGATGGCATACCGTTTAATGTATCCACCACTGGCTGCTCCTGTAGTTGGTTGCTGAGGTTGACCATTTGTTACTCGGCCCGGTTGCTTAGATACTACATTGCTAGGTGAATTGTCTCCGCCATCTCCCCATGTTGCCTTATACGCCTTTCCAGACTCAAAATTCTTCGTCCTATATAAGAATCAGGAGTACAGAAACATACCAAAAGCAGGAGAAGTAGAGTTGTGATTATTAGTGCTAGTTAATTTAAGGATGACCCTAATACCTTTAGCAGAAAAGCTGCAAACAGCTAAATCTAGATTATCTATACTAAGCTCCATGGTAATAGAAGATATGATAAAGATTAGTGATGTAAACCCACTACCATTAAATCATTTTTAAACAGCCCAAATGCTACTACTATTAAATCTGCACTAAGCTGTTAGCAAATAGCAAAATGCAATTATTTGATTTTTTCAAGGTTCCTCAGCCTGTAGCATTTTCCAGAACAGAGGTTAATGGATGCTAGGGAAAAGAAAATAAGGCATCTCTGAGGTTGAAAAGGGATGACAGAGTAAGAAGACCGAGTAGGTAATAATTTGACCCTGTTCTTTGCTCTGTCTTATTAGAACTGAAGTAGTTTTGGCAGATCAGTTTTGTGTTAGTTTTGCATTAAAATTTCAAAAAGAATTTTTTTAAAAAACAAACAAGGGGCTGGGGTTGTGGCTCAGTGGTAGAGTGCTCGCCTAGCACGTGTGAGGCACTGGGTTCAATCCTCAGCACCGCATAAAAATAAATAAATAAAATAAAGTTATTGTGTCCATCTACAACTAAAAGAAAAATATTTAAAAAATAACAAACAAGCAAAATGCATAAAGGAAAAACACAAGTTATTTCCAAATTGAACAATCAATTGATAAATAACCACCTTGCCACACTGGTGCCAGTTACAAATTCTCTGTTGAGGGCTTTTTTATTTAGGAGTTTACCTTTTCTTCTTCTTCTTCTTCTTTTTGGGGGTACCAGGGATTGAACTCAGGGGCAGTCAACCACTGAGCCACATCCTCAACCCTATTTTGTATTTTATTAGAGACAGTGTCTCACTGAGTTTGCTTAGCGCCTTGCTTTTGCTGAGGCTGGCTTTGAACTCACGATCCTCCTGTCTCAGCCTCCCGAACTGCTGGGATTACAGGCATGCACCCGACTTTATCTTTTGCAAACTAAAATATGCAGCCCCCTTCTGTGAAGAAATTAGCCTTCAGGATGATAAAATGCTTAAGCAACTCTGTGATTAACCCTTTGTGCATGTGGTACTGGGGACTGAATCCATGGGTACTCTACTACTGGGCCACATCCCCAGCTGTTTTTATTTTTAATTTTTTAAAAAGTATATTCATAGATTTATTTTTATGTGGTGCTGAAAATCAAACCCAGTGCCTCATACATGCAAGGCAAGTGCTGTACATTACAGCCCCAACCCCCTTATTTTTAATTTTGAAAGAGTACTTTGCTAAATTACCCAGACTAGTCTCAAACTTGTGATCTTTCTGCCTCGGCTTCCCAAATTGATGGGATTACAGGTCTGTGCCACTGTGCCCAGCTACGTAATAAATTTTAATGAGATTAAGAACTCTGTTTGGAGCCAGGTGCCTTGGCACATACCTGTAATCACAGTGCCTCAGAAAGCTGAGGCAGGAGGATTGAAAGTTCAAAGCCAGCCTCAGCAATTTAGCGAGGCCCTAAGCACATTCATCAAGACCCTGTCTCTAAATAAAATATTTTAAAAAGGCTGGGGATGTGGCTCTGTGGTAAAGCTCCCTTGGGCTCAAACCCTGGTATAAAAACAAAACTCTGTTTTCTTAGATTAAGATGAGTATATTAATTTACATTAGATTTATACTTGATTGTCAGTTCTTTAACTATCACATTTTCTTCCATTTAAATGTCTCATTTTAGAATAGCAACTTTGAAAAAAAGAATTTGAAATATCCCTTAATCAATTCAGAAAGCTTCTATAAAAGAAGAAAATACAGTAATTATCAAGATATGAGCACAAAAACATTAACAACTTCTTTTTCTAGTTCTGGTTTCCGTCAACATTTGCATGAGCTGAACAAAAATAGGAAAGAAAAAAAAGGCCAAATATATTACCTATTTTTTTTTCATATTGAGGAGAAAAGGATCAAATATTACCAAATGTAATATGAGTGAGTAAGTGTGAGTGTTTTGGGTGATCAGACAGGAAAAAAGAAAAGGGCAAACAAAGGATAGGAATCAGATGCTTTTTTTTTTTAAGCATTTAATTACTGTCTTCATAATTTTTATAAACATCCAGAATTAAGGAGGATTCAAGACATTAAAACGTAAATAAAACATTTGGTAAACTGACTAAAGGATTAACTCCCATGAAAAATTAAGCTCTGTATTAATTCAATATAAAACGATTGTAAGCTAATATAAGACATAATAGGAATTATGGGACAAATAATAACATGTTAAAGAAAGGTGCACATGGAACATTTAAAATTTATATTCCATCTTATTCCAAATAAGATTTAAGATGACTATATTAGTGATTAATTTCTGAGAATGCCATCTAAGAATTAACTAATTCCTTGTTTTGGTAGTGGCCTAAATCAGGGGGAATCCAAATTATTAGAAGCAAAACTTGAATCAGGAAATCCTGATTCAGGAATAGAAAGGAGTAAGGAAATTTAGTGAGACAGAATCCTGAAATCAAAGTCTTATGAAATAAGAGATGCATTTAATCTCAATTCCCTTACCTTTGATTAAGAACTAGACTACCACAGCTCTCTACAAAGATCAATCTATTTCAAACTTAGAAAATTTCAGGAGTATTTTTATTTTGGATATATTACAGTTAGTTAGCAAAAACTTAATTTTTGGAGCCATTAGTCAAAGGGAGTTATCATAAATTAAGATCCTTTTGTCAAGTCCATCTTTTGTCAGATAGCACCCATCAAGAACAAATTCACTTTACATTACACACCACAGCACGGTTTTTAAGACAGTTTCCATCATTCACAAAACCATGCACATGCACAGAAAAGCCATTTGAAGCATCACCTTTAAGTAGCAGGTTAGCAGCCCAAACTGCGCCATAAGACTGCATCTTAAAGTTCCCTTTGATCAGTTACTGAGCCCGGCTTCTGATGTTAAATCTTCATTTTTAGTAAGCAGATTAGAAAGGAAAAGATTAGGTGAGAGAATGAAATGCAGAAAATAGTAATTGCCAGTCAAACAGAACAGAAACAGGTTTAGAGATTTAAAAACATAATGCATTCAAATTCCTGCCTGGTTTCATAGAAACAACCAACATCTGAGAATCTAGATAAAAAGAAAAGCAAGAAAACTATTTAAAACATAACACACTTCATTTTTCCTCAGAATGTTATTAGGATGGTGATATTTTTTCCTAAAATTATAAAAAATATTATGAGAGAAAGCAAACATTAAAGGGTGATATTGTGAAACTTCCTCTTTCTTTAGAGATATAAATGTCTTTTAATTATTTCTGTTATATATTTTATTTGCAATGTAATTTAAAAAAAATCTTTTTATGTCAAACTCTCCCATCAGCCAACAAGTTTCTCAAGGCCATTCAATACATAAGTTTTTACTGAGTATCTACAGATATCATGTAAGGCATAGCATTAAAAAAAAATAGTAATGATATATACAACAGGTAGGACCATAGGTATGTCTTATTGATATTTGTTATCTCCAGTGAGTAGGAAGAGGAATCACTCATTGTTGAATGAAATTTAATTCTTTAATTATTTTAATCACTCCAAGCTGAATTTTTAACCTCAATATGACTTAAGATTAGAACAGAAAACCTGTTGTGCCAATTTTGAACTTCTCTAGCAATTCGTCCAGAAATACCAATTTGTCTTCAAAGTAGGTGCCATTATCTTAGACTTTTTAAGTACCTTGTAAAATAGGCAAGTTAAGAACAAAAAATACCTTGCCTAAGAATCATTAAACTGAGAATTCAAACAGCTTACTACTCTGTGACTTCCCAGGTGTGCCTCTTTTTAAACTCTTGTTAATTAAAATTATAATTTATCAGTTAGTATAAAAAATATAGGATTATTTGGGAGGCTAAGGCAGGAGGATCCAAGTTTGAGGCCAGCATCAAAACCTTAGCAAGACCCTGTCTCAAAATTAAAAAATAAGGGCTGAGGATGTATTTCAGTGGTAGAGTGTTTCCAAGATTCAATCCCTAGTATGAGGGGTGGAGGGGAATGTAAATATACGTATTAGGGAATGAATGCAGGATTAGGAGAGAAAACAAAAAAAGAAAGAATAGATATAGAAAAAGAACAAAAATAAAAAATATGGGTTTTTAAAAAGACTATATACTACTTTGTTTTTAGAATTCAAATATTCATTAATGTCATTTATCTGAAATTTTTAAGTCTAATCTTCATAGTCTCTTATTAAATTCTAATAGTTCCTTAGAAAAAATCATCTGTAGTTACAATTTCCTCCTAGGGATGGGGATGTAGCTCAGTGTTAAAGCACCTGTCAAGCATACATGAGGCTCTGAGTTCAATCCCCAGCACTGGAAAAAAACAAAAACAATGACAACAAAAAATTTTGCTTCTAATTCCAAGTTCTTCTAAGTAAAGCTATTTTCCCATATCTTATATAAAAGATTTGCTGACCTAGCTTCAATTATCCTTTCGAACAAAAACATCTGAAAGAACAAATCTACTCAAGACAGTTTCTATTCAGCAATACACCAGCAAACATCAATAACAAAAAGGTTCATTCTTTTCTTCTCAAAGTCAAGCAATGTAGCATAGAGTTCAATGACAGTATCTCATTGTTTACTTAACTTCTGTATTTACATTTTTTTTACTGTAAAAGCTTGCAATGTTTATTAGAAACTTAATGTATTTGTTGTAGTTGTTTTTATAGTAAAGAATTTTCAAAGATAATTCCACTTCCAACTTTGGTTCCAATATCCATACATTCTAACAATTAAAAGACAGAGATACATACATTCTAACTATGGGAAGACTAAAACAGACACACTTCTCTGTATGTATGTCCCATTGTGTAGAATAAAAATCAAATCTTTAAAAAGATATATGTACTAGCTACCAATGTAAGTGAATCTATAAAGGTCATCGTATTATATCATCAAGTTGACTGGATTATAT